CATGAGCAATATCTTAACATATTAAAAAGATAAAGGGGCTTTTCTTTTATATTCTAGCTTGTCAATATCGGTAATTTGTGTTTCTAATTCGTTTGAAACTATAGACTTAGTATTTTGACTTCACAAACATCAAATTTAAACCAGTGCTACATGCAACATACCACGTGACACACCAAAATCAATGTTTATCTGTGGTTTTTAATATTTGCTTTTAAATTAAGAAATTGTGTAATACATAGTACTAAAATTTGGATTATAATCTACAGTTTGATACCAAACTTATTGACATAAATTCCTGAAATAGTAGTTCAATAAAATTTTGAATATAAATCAACAAACGAGATGACATGGCCTTTTACCCATGACCCATCTCAAAAAGAATAAACAGCCATACAGTAACTTAAGTGGACAAACAGATATTAATTTTATATATTTTATGTTCTAAATTCTTAAACATAAGACTGCAGTAGATAGTAGATACTGCAAGTGTCTAGTGCTTTGAAATATATATATTGTAGTGAACCAATGGCATGTTCCTTCTTGTAGTACTCTGGATATACTAATCCAAAAAAATATGGAATTTATATCTTACTAAGTTAACACAAGTAACAAAAGAAATGCAACATGAATTTTTTTTTTTTTTCAAAAACAATAGCATATGTTATGTATAGACTAGCAGAGACCGGCAAAACATTTGTGGTCAAATTAGTATCTTTATTGCAAAAGTACTTCTTTAATTACAGGATTTCTAGAATTCTAATCCCAGGCACCAAAATCTATAACTCCACTTGTCTTAGGTGTAACATTATTTAAGCCTTTACTAAGTATGGCCTATATTCAATAAAGAGATAAATTAACACTGTAACTTAAGTATATTTTTGTTTAAATTTAGTTAGGGCTAAATTTTACTGCACTTAATACTATCAGTAAGTAAACTTGTAATGTTATTCTATAACATAACATTAGACTATTTTAAAAACTTAGATAAATTTTTAATATGTTGTACAAAATGTCTACTAAAGTATATTTACATCCATTGAAATGAAGTTTGTATGCATGAACATTCAGATAATAAGGTACGCCCACATTTTCAGGACAGACAAAACTGAGTATTAGTGTGTGTGTGTGTAAAAATGAATGTTTTAAAATGAAACTCACTCACTGTTGCTCTTTTTTAGACTATCTTAACAGCTCCAGAGTTGAGAAGACCCATCTATATGACTGTAGCTGCTCGAGGTGTAGACTACAACCAAGTGTTGATGTTGATGAATTGTGTGAAGTGGGATGTTCATGACATCATGTCTCAACATAGCTACTATGTAGACATTCTCCTGAGAGTATGTTAAGATTGATTAACTTTTTTCACAAGTTTGGGGTTTGTTTGAATTGAGAAAATAATGGGTTAGTTACACTTTCTGTTGGAAAGAAAATTATTAAGGTAAAAAGCTTGGTTTTGGGTGTTTAATAATTGTATGTATATTTAAAATGCTATAAGGTATTAGCTTGGAGTAATAATATGTAATTTATGGATGGTGTATTTTACCTTAAAAAATATAAGGGGAAACAACAAGACCCATGATTCTACAGTGGATGCCACCTATAGTCAGGCAGTATTAAGCATTCTATCCTATACAGTAAACATGACATGATGAACTCCAAATCAAGACTGATTTGGAAAAGTTCCCGCTGACTGAAATTTGAGAGATTACCACGTTTATTACATCACTTCATCAGTGCACGACTCACACACACTAGTAATATGATGGAAAAGCCCATCCACTTGTATTATCACATTTCTGGAGCAAGCTGTAACAAGTGGTGAACTCAAGGTGTTGGGTTCTTTATGTTTATACTGCAAGTCATTTAAAAATCAAGTAAATGTCCCCTTGAATATTGTGGATTTTAGAATCCCATTCCTTGTTTACTCTATATCATTGTATCATTCTACAGCAATATTTTGTTCATAGCCTTATCATTACTCCAAGGTAATTTCCAACCACTCTGTAATGTGAAAAACTATTTCTGTTCTTTTGTGAAACACACTTCCACACAAGTGTAAAGTGGGACTTATTATGGAGCAGGTCACATGTTCTTATATTTTTAATATCATACATAATTTCACATAGATGATATCACAGAAGAATTAAACATTTGTTTGAAAAGTAAAGAGAATTAAATGCTAAATGTAAGCATCACATGTTTAAGTAACTGTATATGGCATAAGAAATCATTCCATTTGGAAGCCTAAAGAAATTGACTTGTTTGGTGCTGCATGTGGAAAACTTACTGTTACATCATAAACATAGTTTCCAAAGGAAGGCTCACAACTTTTTATGCAAAACTTCTGCCTGACACTTACAGATTTGAAAGTTAAACTTTATGTAGATTTGCTTGTTTTTATCTTTCACCCGTTGTTTTCATTTTGTGTTGTGTTACTTTTCATTGAACTTAGGAGCTACAGGTGTTTAGCATGAGACTTCTAGAAGTTAACAAAAAGACTCCAATCCCAAAGGAAGCTTCTGATATCTTGTGGGAGCACTGTATACGACTGGCTAACCGTACTTTTATTGAAGGGTATGTTTGTAACTGATAAAGTATGTGTATGTATTTGAATTAGTGTAGCTTTACCATTTTTATGTAATAATCAGGGTTTATCTGAACCATAAAAAAATGTATTGTAATCATCAGTTTTTCAAAATAACAAATAAAACAGCCTGCTGTACCTGGATGAAATTGGAAAAGAATTACTTTGGGAACCAAAGAGGGACATTTTAATGTCATGTGTAGCAGTATGTGTGTGTGTACTAGTGGGAGTGGGCTTTTTTAAACTGTTAGCATACAGGGAAATGGCCAAGGCATTTCATTCATAACACAGGGCCAAAAGAAAATGTTTAAAAATGAATGCTTGTCCCTGATTCCTTCTAGAATGCTGTCAGGGTCACATTTTCACTCCCACTCCAACTCATTCCAGTCCAATCCCACCATTTGTTTGTACTACATCTAACAAATATAGTAATTATTAACTGAGCACAGCAGGGTTAAAAAGTATACTTCACACTGTGAATATAAATAATTGTATATATTAGATGTATTTAAATTTTCAAGTAGGTGGTAAACTTTTGGAAAACAATGAGAGGCTTAGTTTTAATATTATGTATGATACCCTGGTCTTTTCCATAGCTTGATAGGTAAGTTTGGAATATGTGTCTTATTGTTATAAAAGCATAAGTAGAGCTTTTGTGACAAAAATATTCAAAGGGGAGGAACCTTTTTTTTATTCTGGATTTAAATAAAAATAACTTCATGTCTCACATACCAGACATGTTCACATAGATACTATGTTATTTAAACAAGCTAAAATAACTTTCTCTATTATTTAGATTAAGACATTAATTTTAGTAATCTTTACATATGCTTCACTTTCTCGAGAATAAAAGTCCACATTATTTCAGGACAAACCTTTCTCACTAATTTACAAACGTTATAGCTGAAGTAATATCCAGAGCCAAGGAATTGTTAATTAACCATAACCTATAAAATGTTTTTCAAAAGTGATTCTGTTTCTTCATTACACATTGATGTTGTAATTTATTGGTTGGTCTTCCATGTGATATTATGCCTCAGGTGGCTCAGCAGTAACTCTGAGAGCTTATAACCCTAAAAATTGGGTCTAGTTACTCATAGTGGGTACAGCACAGATAACCTATTGTGTAGCTTTGTGTTTAATAAGAGACAAACGAAAAAAAAACGTAAATATACATCCACAAAAACCATTGACACAAGTTTGAGTTATAGACGCATGCAACATGGAAATGACACAATGTACAAGCGTATGTCATTATGCCCCATTATTCTTTCATTTGCTTAACAAATATAATTTCAGCATAATGTGTTGTTCGAAAAACCAGAAATGTTCGTCCAAACTAGTGTCACTAAAATGTAATGTGACAAAATAGAAACCTATGGAAACAGAAGGATTCTTTATATAAATTTTGTATCATAACCCTAATGAACTATTCTAGTTGTGCATGATCATGAATCACTATGTATTTTTATTATAACTAACTGAGGGTACCCATTAAAGAAGCAAATACAGATTGTATAAAGGAAAATGTTACATAATTTCCCCCTTCTTTCTTTGTTTTGTTATTAGGTCTTTAATGACCTTATTAGGTACTAATTACATACCCTGCTTTGTGTAGGGTAATAATTGACTCATTAAACTGTCTTGTGTCTTTAAATTCAAAGGCCAAAGTCTATAAGAAATGAGGAAATGTGCTTTATTTGAGGATATCTTTCATCTTTTCGAACAGTTTTCAGTTACCATACAAAACCTTACGGTAATCGAGCCAGACAACTATAGATGGTGAATGCTAACACACACACACAGTGGATCATCTTTATAGTAAGGTGGTGTAGGATTTATGTTGTTAAACAAATGAACTAAAACAAAAGTTGTTGGCTTTGTGAAGATTATCAATGTTTTAGTGCATATGTTGCCACACCATTGTTAGGTATGATTTAATGACTAACCTAGATTGTATGGATGATGAAAATTATCACGTGAATTATCGACATTCGTTGCAACTCTTGCAGTGTGAAAAGAAACTGCTAAGCCTTATGGTGAAAACAGTGGCTTTAAAATCTTGTAACTTCATGAATAATAGCTATTATGAAATAGTAAACTTCTGTCATGTGGGTAATTCATACATCTTATAACATTTTTAGTGGAAATTTTAAAACTAAATCTTGTAGCATAATATTAGTGAGATGACTAGCAGTTCTTTTCACTAGTTACATTATTTTTCTAGGTTTTCTCACGCTAAGAACTGTACTAATGAGAGTAATAAACCAGCATTAGTACTGTCACTAGCCATGTTTTTGGAATTATTCAAACTTTATGACCTAATAAGGCTACCAGGTTAATCAGTTAATCCAAGGTTTTAATAAGTTTTCACATATGAACTAATGAGCCTGCTAGACTAGCATTATATGTATGTATTTTTTTTTGGTTCTCTTTTACTCACCTCAATGAACCTATATTTAATAGGAATTGAAGAATGTGTAGCATTGATGCTACTAATTTATTCTTCCAAATTACTCAGCAGACAAGCTGTTTAAGATGGTAAAAATAAATATGAAGCCCAATTTATGAATTGATTCATCACTTCACCAAGTTATACCAGTTTCAGGGAATGCTACCCATCGTCAGTATCTCCAGAGAAGGGCAAATCAAAAAAGCAGTTTTACAATTTTCTGTGATATTTGTTTGTTTTTCTGTTGTTTTTTTCAAACTTAACTGATAAGATGACTAGCTTAACAGGTGCTCTTCATTATGTTTTCAGATTTTCTCAATCTAAGAAGTGTACAAATGAGGGTAGAGCTCTCATGCAACTTGACTACCAGCAGTTTTTGACAAAAGTCGAAGGACTGACAGATTTGAGACTTGTCCCAGAACGGGAACTTGTGGAAGGTTACATCAAAGCTTTTTATCTCCTTGAGCCAGCATTAGAACAGTGGATCCGTTCTCATAGAGTAAGTTTAACACTGTGCATGTCAGAAATAAACCATTAATTTTATCATTTAAACTTCTCAAATCATTCAAAATTTGATCTGATTAGTAAAACTTTAATGAAAAGATTTACAGAAAGAAACTTCCTTACTTCAATCTTAGTTTTGACTGTACTGTTAAGTAGCTCAATGGCATAATTAGTTAATACACAATCTCAAATTTTGATATTATTAATCAGTATTTTCATGTAATCAGTGTTATTTTTATATATTGGAATGGGGTTTAAATTAATAATTGAGTTATGAAAAATAGTTGATTTTTAACTCTTTCAGCATGGGCTCAGTCCCTGGGACCAACCTCATAACCATTTTGTACTTGTTTTAGTTTTCATGCTATAGCTTTTAAATTAGCAAGCATATGTTAATGAAATTTGATAGATTATCAGTAAACATTACAATGCTTTCATACCTAAAATATCAAATTTTGTTTATTACGTCTTAAGGTTTATGAAGCAATATTTTTCTCTTGTCTTTTCACATCTTGCCTATCCAACATGCAAAGTGATTTTCTTTTTAAGATTAAAAATACTTTTATGTATCAGAAAATTTTCAAATTTCACAAGCAAAATCTTTATAATGTCCAGATATTTATCAAGTGTTTCGTAAGAACAAAACTTTATATTTTATCTGTTATTTTCACTTACGAATCTCTGTACGGGTTTGGTAGATTTGACCACGATCTTGTAACCACCATAAAAAATTAGGAAATAAATATATATATTATGCCTTTTTCATTCTAGAATGACAAAAGATTATGACACGAAAACATAAATGTTTAGACTAAACAGCTTAAACTTCATAACATTATACATTTATATATATTTATTAATTTTATTATATTGACCTTTCAGCCGTGCCTGGCTAACAATACAGAAGTTACAATGACACAGTACACATGCTCTGATGTCACCGTATCCAATAGTATAAAACTGACCTTTAGTCTTTACAAAGTGACCTGTCTTGACTGTGTTTTAATAGACTAGTATTTTGTAAAATACAGTCACATTTCAATTATTATACATTATATATGTATATAGATTATTACTATTTAGAAATAAGTTCTTAAACTAGTTTTTCTTAAAACATAGAACAGTAAATAGAGAAGTAAAGCAAACTATTATCTCTTCTAGTTACGACCTTTGTACTAGGTCGCTGCTTCATGTAGGTTGCTAAGCCTTTTAAAATTTCAATGGTGGAGGATATGATACGAAATCATTTTTTCTAGGTTTTATATATACAGTTGAATAACTAAAAAATCATAAATTACTATATCGATACCACAGAATTCAACTATAAAGTATCATGCATAGCAATTAAGCTGTATTTGGGTCTAAAAATATATAAAATTTGGGGCAGACTAAAGACACAACCTACCTCCTTGAAATTTTTGTTTGAAAGAACAAGATGGCATCCTAACACACGAAAATGGCTGAGAAATTCACTAGGGGGACATTCAGAGCTTTCAACTGGTTATTCACATGTCATATATTGAAGTAAGTGTATTTAAATTTGATGACGAGGAACCCACTTTGAGACTAATAATGCTTGGAGACGGCTTGAATGGGTAATGAAGAAAAACTTT